GGCGGAGGTAGCAGTTATGGCTGCTCTCAGTTCTGTCCCTAGGGGCTCTGCCTCAGAGTCCCAGCAACCGCTGCAAACCTCAGCGAGAAAGCTGCCTTCGAGTTCCGACCAAAGCCAGACAGTCCCGCTTCTCCCGTTTGAGTCTGGGTCCCTAGAGACTTGCCCGGCTCTGGAGCTCAGAGTCTGAAGCTCCCTCCCGATTGAAAACAACAACCGTGCCCTCCGCCGCTAGCCCGCTCCGCGTGCACTCCGCACCTGAGTATTTCACTTCAGCACTGCACCCTCCTCTGATCTGAGTATGATATTCTCTTTCCTCCTACTTGTAGAATTTCCACTCAGCCAGCCTTCCTGTGATTCTGGATGATGTCCGTTCTGTCTTTTAGGTGTAATTTGAATTGGTTGTTCGAGGCAGCAATCTCTGGCATTAACCTATGCCCCCATCTTGGTTTCTCTTGAGAATGAATCTTACTTTTTACCCTATACCTTTTGAAATTTTGACTTAAAAACTAATATTTTAAGTCATATTTTATCCCCTTTTTATTTTAAAATTACAGTTGACATTCAACATTATATTAGTTTCAGTGTACAGCATAATGGTTCAACTTTTATATAACTTAGGAAGTGATTCCCCTAATAAGTCTACCTGGCACCATACATAGTTATTACAATACTGGGCTAGAGGCCCAGTGCAAGAAATTTGTGCACAGGTAGGGTCCCTAGGCCTGGCTAGCAATCAGGGCCAATCTGTGGGGTGACTGGAGAGTGATTGGGGTCCCCACTGGCACCTGCCTTGGCCTGGCACTGCCCGCTCACCAGCCCTGCCCCCTGCCACTGCTGCTGGTCACCATCTGTGGAGCAACTGGCAGGGTGATCAGGGCCCTCACTTGCACCTGCCTTGGCCTGGTGCCACCTGCTCACCTGCTCCACCATCCCGCTGCAGTCCTGCTCTTGTCAGGGCCCATTGGGGCCTGCAGTGCCTCCATTGCTGCCTGCTACCAGTGCCATGTCACTGGCGCCAGTCTTGTTTCATGCCTCCCCCTGGTGGTCAGCGCACGTCTAACTCCTGGTGGGTTGAACTCTTGCTGATGGGGATAATTTTCTTATTAGCCTTTTATTATATAGGACTAGAGGCCCAATGCACGAAATTCGTGCAAGGGGCTCGGCCCTCACAGCTGCGGTGGCTTGCCTCGGCCTCGCAGCCCTGGCTTCGTCTGGGAGATCATCCGGAATGTCATCCAGAAGGTCATTTGGCCGTCCATCTGGTCTAGTTAGCATATCACGCTTTTATTATTATAGATTATTGACTATATTCCTATGTTGTACTTTACATCCCCATGACTAGTTTGTAAGTACCATCTTGTACTTCGTAATCCTTTCACTTCTTTTCCCAGCCCCCAGGCTCCCTCCTATCGGGCAACCATCAGTTTGTTCTCTGCATCTATGAGTTTGTTTCTGTATTGTATGTTCATTTATATCACTTTTTAATTTCCACATATAAGTAAAATCATATGTTATTTGTCTTCCTATGTCTGACATTACACTTAGCATAATACCCTCTAGGTCAGTGATGGCGAACCTGTGACATGCGTGTCAGAGGTGATACGCAAACTCAATTTTTTGGAGTGATTTTTCTTTGTTAAATGGCATTTAAATATATAAAATAAATATCATGTGACATGGCACCAGAGTTAAGTTAGGGTTTTTCAAAATGTGACACACCGAGCTCAAAAGGTATGCCATCACTGCTCTAGGTCCATCCAAGTTGTTGCAAATGGTAAGATTTCATTCTTTTTTATAGCTGAATAATATTCCATTCTATATATGTACTATTACTTTTTTATTCACTAGTCTATTGATGGTCACTTGGGTTGATTCCATATCTTGGCTATTGTAAATAATGCTGCAATGACCAATGGGGTGGATATATCTTTTTAAATTAGTGTTTTGGATTTCTTCAGATAAATACCCAGAAGTGGGATTGCTGGGTCATATGATAGTTCTATTTTTAATTTTTTGAGGAACCTCCATACTATTCTCCATAGTGGCCGCACCAATTTGCATTCCCACCAACAGTGCACGAAAGTTCCCCTTTTCCACATCCTCGCCAACACTTTTGTTTGTCATTTTATTGATGATAGTCATTCTGACAGGTGCAAGGTGATATCCCATTATAATTTTAATTTGCTCTGATGATTAGTGACGTTAAGCATATTTTCATGTGTCTACTGATGTGTATGTCCTCTTTGGAGAAATATCTATTCAGGCCCTTTCCTCATTTTTTAATCAGATTGTTTGGCTTTTTGGTGTTAAGTTGTATAGCTCCTTTTTTTCTCTTTTTTTTCTTTATTATGAAAGTATTAGAGATCTCCCTTTTTCCCCCCACTGACCACTTCCACCTGGATTCCTTCCACTTTCCAGGCCTTCACTGCACTATTGTCTGTCCATGGGTTATGCATATATGCATATAAATTCTTTGGTTAATCTGGATATTAATCCTTTATCAGGTGTATCATTGGTGAATATGTTCTACCATTCGGTAGGTTGTCTTTTTCATTTTGTTGATGGTTTCCTTCCCTCATGTCAAAATTTCTTCATGCTATTTCTATTATGATGTCATCAATTCTTAGCTTATCCCCAGTTCTCATCTTATTGTCTCCACCCTGTGTACCCTCTACTCACTGTCAAGTGTTCTTAGCAGCACTCTCAAATTCCTCAACAGTTTCTCTTTCTGTCACATCCTACTTGCCAATTGCCAGTTCCAGATAAAATCCATTATTGCCTTTCCTATAACTAGAGAAAGGTATATATGTATATGTTACATATATATGTACATGCATATATGTGAATACACACAACTAATCAGTTCACAGATTTATTCCATCAAATCTCAACTATTTCAGG